TAGAACTAGTTGCAAATACTTTCACCTCGTGTGCATTGCACTGCAATATAAGCCCGCTCTCTCGTACCCGTGTAGCGTCGCGGGCGAAAACCGACTTATTTGATCCATCTACAAACATACAATATACCTTGTATATACTTAATATATAGACAGAACACATACTAAATTATTATCAATAGTATTCAGGAATGTTTTTAGTAGTACCACAGTGTTACAACATCTAATCTACAGTTCGGCGATGCCGTCGCCCGTGTAGGTAATTACACTATCATACGCAGATATGTAAGGATTGTCACGAAATGGAAAAAAGTAATTGTGATGGTTATTAAAACGTTTATTTATCATGAGTTTGAATCCGGACCCAACACCTCCGAGTTTTCGGAATTCTTATTTGAAATTTACCATGAGCTTTTCGGTGAAGGAAAACATTGTAATAAAACCTGCACGTCGAAACAAGTCCCCAATCCGCACTGGGCCAGCGCGGCGAACTATGGCCTAAAGGGACCCGTGCCCAGCAGTGGGACGTATGTTGAAGATGATGATGAATGGTTTATGACAATAAGAGATAAGTAATAGACTTACTGCAATGACAAATATTTACGTGATACTTTATTTTGAGATGTTTTCAGTTACAAAATTTTAACTACATGTATAATATATTAACAATTTAATCATAAAACAACGTGAGCCACGTGAGCATAGTTGTGATTTAAATTGTAATTAGGAAGTATAATAATTTATCTGTAATACTATTTCGATGTCGAATCACATCTGTACACAGAATAGTTTGTGTGCACCATGTTAGACGTACAACGATTTTTGTAGAATACGTTAGACGTAGTCAAAAATATTTCAAATCACGCACGCGTCTACCCTTAGTGCTCGATCCCGCAAACTATGCATGTTTGAGGGACACGGTCCGCGGCGCCCAATTCCCCGCAAATACTCCACTTTTGTTCTACGCTAATACATTAATTACGCAACTGTCTGATATGTAAAACTGTGGTTAATACTTAAAACATGTCGATCGATAGGCAAAGGTAAAACTTCTGGCAGAAAGGCCGAATGTATTAAATAATTACTCCAAAAATGCTTATAACAATGTGACACTAAATTATTTATACCCGCGGGTCGACACAAGCACAGTCTTAAAAACTACTTATAAACATATAATTTTGTTTATGGCCATTACTTTGCATTTTTATCCAATAACTTGGAGGTTACCTATATTTATTAAAAATAGTCCACAATAATATCGCGTTATCTTATAAATCACTTTCATATATTAAAAATATAAAAGATTTTTTAAATAAAAACATCAATAGAACTACTAGTAAGTTCATCGTTGGCCACACGAAGAACTTTTTAAAAAAGAATAGTATGTCAGTTATCATACAATAAAAATCGTATTTTTTTTCACGATAAAGTTACACTTTGTTCGTTTGCCGACATACTGATTTCTCTGCATATTTTTATCTGCCTTAACATTATCAGAAAGTGATTATTTAGATACCACAACTTCACGATTAGGATGCTTTAAGAACTGTTCGAGTGTGGGGCCATTCCTGCCCAGTGGGTCTTTAGGGAACATAATCATGTCATGGACCCATGTGAAAGGGAGCAATCTGTTTTCTATCACAAACCGCCATCGGGGATTTTCTTTTAGTAGGTCCCGGTAGTTGTCACCCGATACTATAACACCGTCGAACTCGGCCGCACATTGTACAATGTATCTGCAAAGACAAAACCCCAATAAAGCGGAATAATTAAAGGTAAGCTCGTAAGAGCAACAAAGACGGATAAGAGCACAGGCATACGAGTATATTTCAATAGACGCCGCAAGTGTACCTACTTCACGTGACCAATGTAAGCTATAAACGCTTAGTTACCGCTGGTACGCTTTAGAACGCGTCCGGTCGTTACTAGCATTGGATTATGAGTTTCCATTTCAGTAATTTGGTGACCTTATCAAATTCACATAAATGTTGTGGCAACGAAATTACTGTGATTTACGGGAATCTATCTAATATCTAATGTTATAAAAGTATTGTATAAAGTTTGATGTTTGTTTCTTACTTTTCTGCAGCAACTTTTTCAAAACTCGTATTATTATAGGACTTAAATCTTTTCTGGTATTATTTTACTATATTAACAACTCACGGCTTCTTATAATCAACAAATACTTGAAAAACCATTAGTCTAAATAATCGAGTGTCCGCATCTCGATTGATCGAATTTTCGGTTTAATCAAGCACTTTAGCGCCGAAGGAGGTTTCCCATCAGTAAATAGCGCTTGTGATGTCATCAGAGGGACAAAACGTGTCACGCTTGGTTTTTATACAGGACGCGGTACTTGCAGCGTCTATTTAGATAATGTCTGTGGTTGAGGGCGTATCATGGTGGATTTACACTAGATCGACAGGTTGCTTTCGTTTACTCGCCGAACGCGGCAACCTGTAACTGTACACGGAGTACACAGAGTCGTTTGAAGACCGTAGTTCGCTGCTGAAGTCGACTAGATTGTAATCCCTGTCGGGCGATTCAGTAGCCTTTGGCAAGCGACTAGTAGACCTATTGGGTCTCAACGAGGGACGGCCGCGTCCCAGCACGATGCGTACGACAGGAGTCGTGGATACCTACCCACTAGATTAGTTCGATGAACGTTTCGAGAGATTTGTTGTCTCTATGAGTAAACGTAAAAATATACTATTATCAAAGTGATATTAATCTGTAACTGAGTAAACTGTTTAAGCACGTTCGTCGCCAACTACAATTTTCAAAAATGTTCAAAAGATGACATTGGCTTATATGACCGTTTTTGGTCTCATGCACAAATGTATACAAGTTTCTACGCGATATTTCATTATTTGTCAATATTTTGGGATTATAACGCGCTTATAAACGCTATAATTATTACGTTTAGGCCGCGCCGGGTACGATATCGGTCACAGTACGTACACGTAATGTTTGAACGATGTTTATTACAACTGACATCATTTGAATTGTCATTTCACATTAACCATTTTTTTACTTTGTAACTTTTATATTCAATTTTAAATTAAAGTATTCTTTTCGAAATATATAATTTTTTTCCTCTTCGTCTACCAAAGTAGGTAATCAAAAATCCTAAAAAATAAAGTTGCAACATAAGTTTCTCAGGGCCACGCCGGTCATGTTATATGGCTAAATACGTCGAGTTTGCCACCTGTTGCGTGAACGAGCAACCCCCTACCCTTCGGCCCCAATAGGACGATGAGATGCCGGTCATTTTTATCCATCACGGCGATGACCGTGTTAAGATAAATGAAAATGTGTAAAAATTTTAATTTAGTATTTTTTTTTTGCATTATATTGAGTCATAAACCCTGTGCAGGGTCATGTCAAATCCCTAACATAACCTTAAAACCTATCGATAAATGTATAAGCAATAAATAAATAATAAATAAGAAGAGTCCGTTTACTTTTTATTCTTCGTATTAATAATATTATCATTGATATCACTACTTTTTGTTAATAAATTGCGTCTGCTATTAGATGGATGAAATTATTCTTCGGCATCTTTATAACATGAAATAAAGGATTATATTCTATTCATTGTTATTGGTATACGGCTTTCCCTCTGATATGTTAGGCTTCTTTTTTAAACCCTGTATAACATAAAAGGTTTCTCACCTATCATCATACGACGTCACCATGCGCCCTTGTATTTCCCTAGAAGGCGTGTATACCACCAACCCTCTCCGTTCCAGGTTGTCCAGCAATCGTGGCTCCGTGCTCTTGCCGAACTTGCACCTGTGAAACGATGTTAGTCCGACGACAGACGGCTCACAGTAAATGGTCATATAATGACTGTTTACAAGGTATTAAAACCCAGAATACGCAAAAGCATTGTCGGTACATTGACCGAGTGCGAAACTAGTCCCTGAATATGATTTATCCTCTGCTATCCAAATAAAGGCCGAAAAAATGCTACATGTGCGTCTATGCCACAAATTTTTTTTAACAACTGTACATACTCAGTATATTATTTAAGTTGCACTCAAAATTGAAACTAGAAACAATTGAGAAGTGCACCTTAAATTCATAAACTTAATATTGATTTTGCAAGTGCATAGGAAATTTAGTTTCTCGTGTTCCAGAAGTGCAGAGTTTCAGAGATCGCGGCGTTCAGTTTTATAATAGTGTGAACTATATATAGATTACTTATACATATATTTTTTATATTTTCTAAATACCTGAATCGTGGCACGAACGCCTTGATAATATGGCCGCGTTTCAGGAAATAATCTATGCATATATTCAGGCCTCGCACTGAAAATACCCTGCCTTTGCCGTGCCTGAAAGTTACACATTGCAATATTGAGAAAAATATTATAGTAAACTGGGTAATTATTTTTAATATTTAATTTAATTTTACCCTTTCATCAGCAGGGATTCGAACCCCGAACCCTAAAATGTTTTGCAGTGAAGTGCATTTTCTGTGTCATAAGCGTAATTGGGCACTACAATTTACTTCCTGTATAGGTCCTATCGGGATTCGAACCCAAGTCGTACGCCCAAAATGTTTAACAGTTGAACTATAAAACACTTATCTACAATTTTCATAGCATTATTAATCATTGCAATACCTATACATTTAAAGTAAAAATTTGATATAAAAATTAACTACAAAATAGTCAAAACATAATCATTTAAAAATATAGTGAAATAGTCTTTCTACACAATAATTTATAAAATTTGTTACAAATTTAATATGTGATCATTTTGTACCAAAATAGCATATCTTTGCAAAGAAAATGTCAAAGAAGTAATAAGTTATTCAGGAGGTCTCAAATACAATAAGATATTTAGTTCTGCATCTGTGGGTAATTTTTAGGTTAGTTTTCTCTACCGAATTTCGGTGGAATTTTTTATTATTTAAAGTAAATTATCAAGAAGTATTAAATCATATTTGAGGATACTACACTCGAATATTAAGTAACACATTATGATAATATTATAGAACATTCAAATAATAAAAATTTGCCACCGAAATTAGGTTAGGAAATTAGGAAAATTAACCTGAAAATTACCCCTAATTGTAAAAAGAGTTGTCTTTCTTTGCATGTTGCCTGCTCTGTTATTATGTCATTGCAATAAAATATTCATTATTATCAATAAAATTAAATAATCGATGTACTTTTCGAAGGTTCGTGAAGTTTGCCAATTCGCATGGGGCCATAGTGGCCTTTGTTAATATTCTCACAAAACCCATTCCGAGTGTTTCGGCACAGGAATCGAACCCGGACCCCCTAAATAAACTTGTGCATTAAAAGATTGAGGGTCGTATTCTAGAACTCTACTCAATGCCCAAGTCAGGATTTGAGCAGACTTGAGTATGATTTCAAGCACTGGAAATACGACCCTAATGGCAAGGAATTGAGTATGTTTTCAGTGCTCACTGCAATACTCAAGTCCTGACTTGAGTATTGAGTAGAGTTCTGGAATACGACCCTGAGACTTACTTATGTGTATAAGCTCACAAAACAAATTTTACTATGTGAATATTAAAAAAAACACTAAGGGCACTTTCAAATTAGACGCTGTGTACGTGTGGCGCGGCAGCTGCGCATCTGTAATGCTTTAGTAATTTTTAGTTCACTTTAATGTGACTGAGAAAATGACGCGCGCGTGTCATGACAATAACGATTGTGAATTTTGTATGAATATTAGTAGTGGCGCGGCTGCAGCGCCACTGCGGTGCTTCTATGAGCGTTAAATTTGAAGGCGCTCTAAACTTGAATGCTTATTATCTGTAATATTTCGACTGAAGAACTTGAATCTTTTGTTTAAATCATCTACTTGATTAAACACTTTTTGCGATTTCAGAACTATAGTATAAAGTGTTAGTATTAATGAATGAATGTATTTGGGTACTTTTCAGGTTAGTTTTCTCTATCTAATTTCGGTGGCAATTTTTTTAAATTTAAATATTTCATGAAGTATCACAGTATAATTATTTAATATTTCACGATACGATTAATTTAAATAATAAAATAATTTCCACCGAAATTAGGTATCGTGAAATATTAATATTTCAGGATACGACACTCGAATGTTACGTGGAACTTCATGATAATGTTTAAATTTGCCACCGAATTAGGTAGAGAAAATTGACCTGCAAATTACCTATTCACCTCTTTCAAGTGTCACACACATTTTACGTACCTGTTGATACTCCGTCTTGTAGGATATAATCTTTAGCCACCTCAGGCCCCGTGTATATCAAAACGTACATAATATGAGAAGTGATTCAGACCCAGACAATATTATGCATACTGTAAACGTCCAGTGATAATGAAAATATCGCATTCAAATTTAGCGCTCTATATTCCATATGACCATAAAAACAACAACAAAGCTGAGGTACAAAACTGCGGGCATAGGGTATTTGCTTGGGCCGGAGTACAGCACCAGGCAGTAAATATGCACATCGGGAAAACCCGGAAGCCACGCATATTTTCGAATGTGGTTGCCGCGTCCATAAGTTATTGCATTAATAACTGATGTATTTATGACAATTTAATATAAAAATTTATTAGTGAATATCTAACGTAAAAGTCATTGACTACTTTAATAAAGTTTCTTTTCACTTTTCATGCTCTTAAAGTTCGTATTTATGCTGGGTGTAGGGTGCACAAAATAGGATTTTATGCTGGGTGTAGGGTGCATAAAATAGAATTTTATGCTCTAGTGCATAAAATAAAATCGTCGTTTAAGACCGAGGCAATGACGCATGCGCCAACCGCCACGCACACTGGAACTTTATAAAATAAAGTTTTACTTTTGTTTTTTTAATCCGTGTTATATTACAAAATTAAAAAAGTAGGCAATAGTAATTCTAATAACTTATAAGAAATGGAAATGCATAAAAAATAAAAGCTTGTAAAATATAACTGAACATTATGTAGTCCGACCTGAGACACGTGTAAAAAAAAAGTAGTACATTGGCGGACAGTTCTTATATTTCCTTGGCAATAGTTGTGTTATCGTTTATTTGTAATATTGCTGTTTAATTTCCTCGCAATCGAAGTGAAAAGCAGACTGTATAACTCGTTCATAAAACTCATTTTACCCTCGACTTAAGTATCCACTCCTCCTATACTCGTGTCGGGTAACATGACGCGATTTATGCAATTGTTGTAATTATAATAAATAATATATTTCGCTGTCATAAATAACATCACTGAATAGTTTTCCCAATGTGCAATATATACGACCTGATACTGTATGTAATTATATTAAGTACATTTTAATGTACATTGGGCTTAACTCCCGCTTTCCACACTTTAGTTTGCTGCGTTTTAGGAGGTTAATGTGACACGGTAGGGCGCGTTCCCACTATGTCGTCACGTTTTATTATCGTTAGACGACTGTCGTGTCTAGCCTATTCCCATATCACGACTATTTGTCGTGGACGACTTTTTATCGTTGAACGATTGTCGTGACTAGCTGTTCCCACTAGATCGTGACGACAATTTATCGTTTCACGACAGCCTCCTTGCCCATCTCTGGCTACGACTCAACGCTATTGCAAAGCGATCAGAGGGCACGGGGTACGAAAGGGGAGTAGAATACGTGCGGACAGCGATAAATAAAACATGACGACAATAGGAGCTGCGACAATCTGTCGTCACGGTTTATCGTGACTTTTTTATCATCCGACGACTGTCGTTCTAGCTGTTCCCACTGTGACGACAGTTTGTCGTTATAACGATAAAAAATCGTGAACGACAGTTAATCGTGTCGTGCTATATGTGAACAACTTCATTTAAATATACAAGCCACGACACTGTAAACTGCACGACAATCTGTCGTCACGACATAGTGGGAACGCGCCCTTACATTTGAACCGAAATACGGTGTCGTTTAGTAGTGGCACTTCACATGGATATTTGTATTTGCGTATTTGATATATTTGACAAACAATCACCATGTGTTATGTAGATAGCACGTGTGACGAAGTATTTGAATTGTTGTCTACTCCACAAATACAGCAAACACCAAACTCGCGTTACCGTGCCCTGGTCGGCTTCTCGACGCACATCAAAGGAGCCAAATAGGCAAATATGCAAGTAAACCGTCTACACTATGGTCACATTCATTATTTGAACTACTTATTTGGCTTTGGCACAATGCAAACCGTTGGGTCACCGAAGTCGTGATAGAAAGCAATATACTATAATGTACATCACCACCATTAACCAGTTTCGCATTCCACTGCCGGGTACGGTTCTCCTCTACGAGCGTATAATTTAAGACAATCTACATTGGACTAGAGTCAAATAAATATGTTATAAAATCTACATTTAAACTGAAGAGATCCATGCAGCTGTCTTTTATTGTACATAGGGCCCCTCCCAAAGAGATAAATTGATAATAATACATGGTATATTAATATAGTTGCTCACCTAGCAGTGAATATTCTGTAGCCCTGTAACTGTAACATATGAAGGGTTCATTTTTGATATTGTACTGTCAATTGCAGGTGGCTCAGGATATTAAGTGGTGGCTATTGTACTAACCTTATTCATTGCAATAATTTTAATATTTTATTAACACATACGATTGTAGATGTATATCTTTTTATGAGAACACTTGTAAATGCACACAATGCATATCCACGTAAACTGCCGTGATTTGAACACAGGACTCTCTAAACTGCTTAAAAACTGAGTCAAAATTGTGATAATACAAGACATGGACATTGTTTTAAAAAGTATAAAGAATAAGCAGTCCAGCTACTGGAAATATCACACATCTGAAATTTAAACTGACTGTTCACAACTAAGTGCGGGTAAGAAATAGAAACAAGAAATATTCGGACAAGAACAATGAAGAACTTTCTCACCAATCATGAGTTGCGATCCTGTCCATCTGAAAAGACTGTTGTGGCCCTGGGGAACGGAATGAGATCAGTCCTATGCAGGACTATGTCTCATTCTGTTCCTATACTCAAACTATAATCTACACTATAATCAAAACTTAGTAAAAGATACCTTTTACTAAGTTTTGATTGTAGTGCCTTTCCTACACAGCCTTTTGGCACTGAAGGGCACTATTACCTGCACAAGCACCTTATCTGTCAAGTTCTGACCCCATATCAGCCTGTTGACAAAGGCTCCATCCGGTTCTCAAAGGGCTAGTGCCTTGGGTGAGTGACCCCAGGTGCATATACAGCACCTTCCCTTATTATTCCAGATAGGTACTTGAGCTGTTGGCACGCTCACCTCCCATTGTGCATTGCACAACTAGAAGTTGCCACGGCTAAGCCATTGAAACACAACAATCAACATAAATGATCCGTCAGGGTTGGAGTCTCCGCTGCTGGTAAGTAAACTAGAAGTGTAATACAAGCTGCAACTACTTACTGCATAGCTACATTGCTACCATCTATGACAATCATTCTAAGACCGGTCTTGATCTTGGCATCCCGTGCCGGATTGTAAATATTGCTGCCTATACTATTTCGTGAGCTCGCTTGGCCTAATATCACTTCTTTAATGTACGAATCTTGAACGGTCTCTGTTGCTGTGCTCGAATCCTGAAAGGAATATCATTTTATTTGGTATATTTATAGTAATAAGTACAAAAAAATTGTATTATTAAGATGATATTATTGTGGCTTTTGCCCTAAAGGGCCCTAAGGGGCTATATATATATATATATGTACACTCATATACATATATTACTATATATAAATTTCTTTGAAATACCTTTTTCGTGCCAATAGCAGCTTCAACCCCATGTTTACTCTGTTTCATTTTTGGAACACTGCAACCACTGAAAATGTTCTGAGTAATCAGCTCCAGTAGTCTACCTTTCTCTGAAGCATCCAACTTTGCAATACCACGTGCAAATTTTCGTATATGCTTTTGTTTCTTGTGTGCCATATTCAACACAGTGACATCTGATTCCCCACTCATAGAAAGATTTGTATCACTTATGGATATTAAAGTACAATCATCGTTATCAGTTTGGTTCGCCAAATCAATCACAGTATTTGTTGTTTGATTTAAACTAGAATTTACAGTCTCATTTGTTAAGTCTATTGTTAAATAAGAATCTGCATTAATCTCCTTTGTCAGATCTGCTACTTCTTTGTTGAAATTTTGTGCAATCATTGAGTTATTGTTCAATTTTGTACCAGATATTGTATCAGTTGAAATTATTAAATCGTTAACTTTGGTTTCAGTTTTTATTGGTGTAGAGCATTGTTCTTTTAATGGAGCCTTGAAGGGAGTTGAGGCATTGCAAAATTCATTATTTGTAATAAGATCACCATCGTCAATTATGATGCAGCTGGAGTTGCTAAACTTTCTTTGTTTGATCTCACGGATATCATCAGATTCCATTTTTCTTTTCAATCTGTTTCTTGGTGATGTTTCTGTGCCATGATATGAAATCGCCACTACTGTATTATCAGACTCAAGGGAGGTATTGCTATCTCTGCGTAGTTTTTCAAATAGCTTTTTTATGTTATTATTTGTTTTGTTATGCGTTTTTTTTCTTCGTTTTTCAATTTTTTTGATACTCATCCGCGAATTCATTCTATCTTTTCTGTTAGTTGACGATGACGAGGCTGAGCTTTTCTGAAAAATAATATGTTAATTTTCCAAATTAACAGTGAATAATAATAATAAACCATTTATTTCAGATATACACTAATCCATAACATTTGTTAGTAAAGTACTTAAGATGGTGTTAGGTGTAATAATTATAAAACAAAACTATTATAGGTATTTATGAAGGAGGGGAATAGACCAAATAAAGGAAAAGGCCGGTGTCGTGTCATATAAGGAGGTCGAGCTGGTTTATAGGAGAGATGATTGGAAATGCTCCACCTACAAGAGTATAACTCTTAGGTTTCATGATGATGATTTATGATGGAGGACAACATACGCAGCCAATGACAGGGCAATTGGTTACGCATTGGCAGTAGTGTGCAAATGCATCGACCGCACCAGCGTCAATGTGCTCAGGATACGGATCGTACTGAGACAGCAAACATGGTTGACACGCTACAGAAAGGTGGAAGTCAGAACAGCATCCTGAACGCTTTGTACTGGATGCGCAGTGTGCCGTACGTCCCTCTCGTGTAACTGACCCACAAGTTGCACGAGTAAAAGGATTGGTAAAATGCTTTAAGAAGTGTTACTTTCACTTCCTCTGTACAGTAAGCAAATCTGTGAGGCAGCATATTGCAATGGACATCCAATGGCCTGCACTCTCTTTCCACATTTAATCAAGTTTGTTTTAAGATTGAATTTTAAAACAATTGTTTAATAACAAACACATTCTCCCCTGACAAACATCTACAATTTCGATTAATATTGTTTCTAAATCATAGGCTATGAAATAGAAAAACGAAGCACAAGGAATCATGGATAGTGGTCAGATAATCGGATGCGCTAGCTAGTTTAATAGTATGAGTGGCTATTCTTTCATTAGAGGACATAGCCTAGTTATTTCCCGCTTATTATTTATTATACTTTATACCTATTATTTACTTAAAAGTAGGTAGCTTGCTAACATTGAATGTGCATTTGTATTGACAAAAGACAAAAGCAAGTGACACTGCTATAGATTAACTTATAAGTATAAAATTGAATGAAAATAAACGTTATTGCTTGTAATTTGCATTGTAATTTGTGTCTAACATTTAAATTAACTTTTGTTGTCTATGTGTATAATAGGCTTGTACAGTTCACCTGTCTTTTATTCAGTAGGAACGTATCGAGCGGGACAAACAGCAATCTTTCACTGCTTTCAGTACAAGTTCGAGCGGGGTGCACGATTGAACGTTGACAGCTCATTCTGTCTCTAATACGTATCTACATTACCCATACTAAGTAAGCTTGCAAAAAGCAAGTGCTCATATTTTTTGGTAGGTGTGGTAGGTATCTGTATGTATAATATCAACCTATGTGTATGACAACATATATGAAATAGTTGTACCTAAATATTGATTTTTAAACACACCATTCTAACTAAAATTCTTGTTTTGTAAAAAAAGGGTATTTAGTTAGAATGACAGTCTTTAAACCTGTAAAATATGAAGGAAAACCAAATAGTACCGATTCCATACAAATTGTATTTTTAAATAATTAGTACACTGTACTATTGACTTCATCATACTAGAAGTCTGTAGTAGTTCATGTGAATAAAATTACTATTATAGCTTGGAGCTTACATTCAATGTCCGAGCAAGGACAAGATGAACTAACGAACTTAAAACTTTATGAACTAGAAGACCGACCCAGTTCACTTGACCGATTAAACTAACTAGGATCGCTCCCTCTAAGGATCGGTCAGGCACAAGTCTAGTGTTTAATGTGATGCAAACATATCATTGTTTAAGTTTAAATTTCACACTTCTAGTCATTTATAATAAATAAAAATAAATAAGTTCTACAATCATAATTCTGGTCATTACTAGGGCTTTAACATTTATAGTATTTAAAAATAAAAATCTTAATTATTCTGGCATCCCAGGTTTTAAAAGAAAAAAGGAATCATGGATTTTTGATTTGTTTGAATGTAAGAGAGAAAGTGCCCTTTAGAATCTAATAAATTAAAACTTCCTCTCATATATCATCGTCAGAATAAAAATGCTAGTTTTGACCTTCAACATTGATGCTTGCAACATAGCAAGAGTCCCAACTAACAAGTGTGTATTATTGTAATTTATTGTTATTGAACAAAATATGTTGACTAACTGTTATGCTATAATCACTAATTTAGATACCTAAGACACAAGTAAACAATTTTACTTAGTTTAGGTATCACCTAGATTAATTTGCACTACTAACCTTAATTAAAGTAATGTAAACATAAAATAATTTCATTGTTTGCGACAATTTGGCGCATATATGTAAATAATAGGTTATTTAATAAGATTTATGTATGTATTTAGGTTAATATTTTATACAGAAATAAATTTATCTTTATCTTTATTATCTTTAAGTCTAACTAACAGACACACACTCCTTAAATCCAATTTAAATGAACTTTCTCACAAAGACAATAAGCATTGCTACAAAATGTATTCAAGTAAATTTCAAGGAACTGGGCAGAGCATATTGTGTTGTCAGCAGATGGAGTAAAGTAAGAAAACCAAATTGTAGCCAAAGAGCTGGCTATAGCAACATGAGATATAATGAGTTGGGTAAACAACTTCATAAAAGTCATGGGCCATAGAAGGGTCAATCTAGTGCAAGATCATGGTGAATGGCATAAATTAAGAGACGCCTGTACTGAGCAGTGAGTATAGTGATGATAAAGCAAATCTTAAATTAAAACATGCAAAAAGGGAATATACACTACCGGACACATAAATCGAGCCATCTTGCATTTAGATTTTTCAAGTGCTAGAATAAATAAAAATATTATTACCATTGAAAAGTTTTTCCAGATTTCGTAAATTAAAATTTTCAACAAAACTTTTGAAAATGATGTTTAGTACACCAGTTTCAAACTTGAATTAGTTATACATCAATCAAACATTATTTCAGCTGAGGACATTTAATACTGACAATGCAAAGTGGTTCGAATTATGTGTCCGGGAGTATATTTTAAACACTTCCTTGTTATTTAAGTTGTTCTACGTTTAATAAACCTACATGCTGTAGATATTGACTTAATTCAAAACCTTATGGCTTGATATTATATAAAAACGACACGACAATTGACACTATATAAAAAAAAAGACAACACAGAAATGGGAATTCAGTGTCACGTAAAGAGGATAGCCAAACAAATAATAGGATGCAGCTAAACAAGTAAATAGACGTTCCATATGCTATAAAGAGCTAATTTTAAGGCTTATGGGATCTCCAACATTCACTAGGCGAGTGTTACGAACTTTGGCGTAACGTTTCTCATAAATTTCTTCGCATAGGGATGTTTCGTTACTTTTCGACTGAGAAAGGTTACAGGGATGTGGAAGAGTTTTATATCCTCCTCATAAACATAGGATGAGGTTATGCTCTAATTGGCGAATGTTTTTCATGACTTTCGAGCTTGATTAGTCACATTTCGTAAGTTTTTATATTTAAATTCTGCAAAACACAAAGCAATGCGCCTCTGTCCCAAGCTTCAGCATGCTTAATATATATATTTTTACCCACTTGTGATTACTAAATACGAAGGAATTAAAAGTTATAACAAATTTTTTAACTAACAGATCGGCGACTCGTCGGCTTGCCCATCGTAGATAAACAGATTTTATAAAAACAAACACAATTTGCAACCGAAATGATATTATTTTCTAAGAGGTTTTCATAAAAATTTCTCGCACAAAACAAAACGTCGGAAGAAAAATGGCGGAAAGAAACGAAATCGAAATCAGTCGTGATGACAGTTAGCAGCATTGACAAACAATGTGTTCGGATACATATTTACGCTTGATATATGCGTAAAACCAGTAGGTATTACACGTTTTTGTTGTAATTAATCATTAAGGTATAATATTTTTTTTTAATTTCTAAACACAAAAATAAATATATATAACAGATCGATCGAAAACTATTCTCATTGTCACTTTCGTGGCGAAGTGTGTATAATACGTCTTATCAAACAAAATAATAATAATTATTATTATAGCTGTCAATAGATGTAAAATAATGTTTCTAATATTGGAATGCTATGAATATATATAGATTTTTTGTGTTCAGTCACTGTACGAAAATTACTAGAGATGAAACGGATATCCGATAATTATCCGGTATCCGGCCTAATTTTACTATCCGCCCCGACACCGGATAATAGGACAACACTCGGGCGGATATCGGATATTTAAAACTAAGATCAGTACGCCAAGTAAATTGATTTATTGATTAAAGAGGCTAGTAATAGGATAGCAATTATACGATCGTTGACAATCTGTTCATTACTTGTAACTGTAAGGACCTATAAAGTTGGATAACGTAATCTGTAAATTTAGTACTCAAAGGCAAATTATTGTGGATGAAGATCAGTATTTCTGCAGTAGTGGTAAAACGCGGTTCCGTTTATTTTCAAAGACAAGACCAGCTTCAGAGCTTTCTCTGGCAAACTTTGTTAAATTTAAGTACTGCTTCATATTACCAGACCACCAAATGAAAGGATGGCGATCACAATTTTTCGTATGAACAATGCGTAACGATAATAATGAACTGTATAAGTAAATTTATAAAAAAAAATGTAGCAAAAACTGATACCTACCTATCAAGTTTTGGAATACTTAGATCACAAACAAATTAAAGAAATCAAACTGATACAAAAGAGTAACGGGTGTATCAAGTGCTAGGCTTATACTTATAAAAGAACAATTGGAAATTTTAACATAGACAAAGAATGATGTAACTGTTTGTCTGTCTGTTCTTCCTTCTCCACCGTAAGAAATTTGCATTTAGTACAAAAAACAAACAGCACTAATATTAAAATATTGCTAAATTTGCTATTTATATATTTGCAAGTCGTCAACGTGAAAGTACAATCATTCATCAATCAATCAATAACGGCGATGCACGCCGTAAACCGGTCGAAATATTTTTGCGCCTGTGGGTCCGATATCCGGCTATCCGATCTAGTTGCTCGCCGGATATCCGGTATCCGGCCAAATCACTATCCGTATCATCTCTAAAAATTACATTGTAACTGTGCAGCCAATTCAAATTAGAGCATTCAACCAAATTCGCTTATAATTTCTAAACGGCGCTAAATAGGCTACATATTTTGAAGATTGTTTGTGTTTAGCAACATTATTTTTGTCAATGAGTGACATGCTTGTGAATCAATAAGTTGAGATTATATTATACGATCGTTTTACGCGAGAAACGTCTCGTTTTCAGCTTTCTCATTTAGTCTATATCTATTTTTTTCCAATATTTTATTTTTTAGTTTGAAATATTAATTTCAAGCAAATGAAATAAAAGTAGTTAAAATAATAAATAAAGAAGCGTAAAAAGGAAATGAAGTTTTTGAGATGTAAACCGCGTACCTATGTTTGTATTTTTAAACAAACTGACGTTCCGGACCCTTTACAGATCCCATGGTCACGGCTGACTGGCTCTATAAATCCGAAAAAATAGTTTAATTTCCGAAGTGTAACAATCGCTAAAACCTTAGAACTCGATAAGAAGCGTAAAATAAATATTTTTGAACTACAAGTAGAGAGATAGATCGACAGATAAAACGTTTCTTTGGATCTACAGACTGATAGTCTGCGAGATTCCATATTGAGTATACACGTATTGTTTAAAAAAGACGTGATATGACTCTTAGGCGGAACATCAAAAATAAATCTACAACACGCATTCTGCACGCGTTGTATTAAGCGACTTGTTATGTATAACAGTCGATGGCCATAAACAAGATCTGCGTAATTGAGACGAGATAACACCAGTGACTCGCATACAATGATTCGCACTCTCTCGGATAAGTTTTTAATTTTATACAAGACTAAGAAACAGCTCCTTACAAGACTCTGTCTGTCGTAACGTAGTTCGCTGTCTAACAGTACACCTAGATTTGTAGCTTCGTGAACCAGGGATATATAGGAATGAAACTATTTTTCCGGATTTAAATCGCGTATATTTGTTTTTTCAAACAAACCGACGACCAGGGATATATTTTGACCTAGAACACTGTAACTGTACCACCCCTTCGACAACATAACCATCGTCGCCTTCCACGTCGACAACATTAAAACGATGACCAATACCATGACCAAGACTTTATCATAACAGTAACACATATATAAAACTTATATGTGTATATATGTATATAAGTAATATACATATAATAATCTAAAATATATAAACCCAAGTATCAAAGTATACAAGATACTATGGATCTATTAAATGGCCATATTAAATTTTAATTATATGATCGTCTAGTTTGATTAGGACCTTATTATTAACATTACGTTGTGTTTTAAATAAATAAGTAAGTAAGTAACCCGCGATTCTTTAAGAGGTACGTGAGATAAACATATAAATATAGTGATATGCTACATAGATTTTTTCAAAAAGACGTAAATATATTGGAAGAGGATTAAGGAATAAGGAAAGGATGCCCACCTTATGTAAAAAAAATATATTTTGAGGTATACGAGGCCCCCACAACAGTCTGCTTGTATAGATGTTATTTCACTACAGACCACCTCCGCTCACGTATCGTGTATGACGCGCCGGTTACATACTCCGGGGCGTAGAAGGTATAGAAATATATACACCTACGCTATTAAATGATGATTGTTTTAAACAATAGATATTCGTTATACGGAATACCTTAAGTATAAATGTCCTGCCATGTATGTGACGTAGCATAAAGACCATCAACAGTATGTTCTGTATAATATGTAGTGCAAATAGCATTTCAATGTATATGAAATGATACAACTCGACGTCTTCAATTGATGAATACATATACCAGTCACTGGTTCACACAGAACAGACCAGCACGACGATGTAGCCATGGCATTGGAGCCGGCTCAGGAACTGTAGACTGTTACATTGTATGTATCGTCTCAACGAATACAATATAGCCCACAAGGTCCAGCAGACAGGGAGAGCATGTTGCTACTCATATTGTGTCAACGCAGGCGAGTACAATATAGTCTGCAATACTAGTAAGTCTATGCAAACCAGTACATTGATGATGCAGCGGCAATCAGAAGCATTATTTAGTGTACCACATCTCGATCTTTAACGAGAATGGGTATCTTAACAGGAACAATCAACCAGGAACATTATAGAACAATAAAAGTATTTGTTATACCTTATTGTAATTAGTAGATATGAAACTGTTAATAGTGTCATAGCTCCGCTCACAAAACACTGCTATGTCATTTAAACTCAAGTATAAATACATAGAAATCCGGAGATATCCGGGAACAGGATGTGGAGTAACTAATTGATGCAAGATGAGAAATAATATCCATTAATGTAAACTAGTTTTACATAAGTAAAGAAACAAGAAGACAGAGGATAAAGATAAAGGAAGAAGAATAGGCCCACCTCATAGCCCTGCCTAGTTTTTACTAATAAGAATCCCTATTACACACCTTGAGTACAGCAAGTAGAGAAGAAATCAATTAATTATAATTATCAATTAATTATATCATAATCACATAGGTGATAATTCAGCATTTGAAATATAATTTCGCTATCTGATAAGCCTTGGTAGTAGACTTATCTAAGTTGGGTTAGTGTTCACCAAGCACTGAAAGTTAATCTAGTATTAACTTACAGAAGCCTAAGTTAAATACCAACCATTTCCGACCACGGGGCTAATTATCTCAGTAGCAACTTATACACTCGAAGTCCTAAATCTTTATGGAAATGGAAAGGCCTTCCATATAAGATCATGAACACTGTCACTGTGTATTGTAGTAGGTACTTCTAATAATTAACGGCTAGCTCTAGGAATACGCTAATCAGACATAAACGAGATATACATAGATATCAAGGCATAAATCTGACAGGGCGATGGGAGGAACACAAGTGATCCAACATCATCGCAAATAACTTAGTATCATCTTCCACAAAGGCTTTTAATTTGACAAGACAAGATTTTATAATTTGTAATAAATATGCCAAATTTCAGCCTAAGATAATAAATCAATTAAACTTCATTGGTTTTCTAATTCCATTCTGCAGATGTCCACTTCTTTAGCAGAAAGGACATGAAATTAAATACACAATATTATGTATTAATATATCTTTAATAAATAATTCTACCTCACCTTAGATACCTTAAACCAATACTGATAGTACCCAAGTAGAGAGATATAATAAACCACTACTGTTATCCTTTGTACAATACATTGATCAAGTATTAGGGGTTAAAGTATGAAATTGCCGTTTTATTGCAATAGGTTCTTTGAATTTTCATAGAATCTTCATGGTTTGAGGTTTTCGAATGAAACTTTTTTCAAATGGTTTCTGTGATTTTTTTTTTTTAAATTTGAAACATTTGAATATCGACTTTCAATTGTTTTTGTTATTCAATTTAGACAAGAAAGATGGATACTGCGAAAATTCAAGTGATTTTTGAACACGAGTTCCGACGCGGAACTAACGCGGCAGAAACAGCCCGCAATATCAATGCTGCGTTTGGAGAGGGGTCTACTAATGAACGCACCGTGCGATTTTGGTTTAAACGCTTTCGTGATGGAAATTTCGACTAAAAGAACGAGCCACGGGGAAGACCGCCCACACAGGTGAATAACGATGAATTAAGAGAGATAGTGGAAGCCGATCCTAGTGTAACAGCCATCCCCGGGGGTCTATTAAATAATAGATAAAATTAAATAATAGATCCGGAGCTGGT